TATCTGAGTGCATCCCATGTCCCAAGGGTAAATATTGCTTCAGACAGGGATTGCACTCTCCCACGGGAGATTGCTTTGCTGGTCACCTGTGTCTTCAGGGAGCGATCTTCCCTAACGAGACCGTCAATGCCTCTGCTCTCTTCGGCCAGCGGCTCTCTTTCCCTTGTCCGCCCGGCTACTTCTGCACCACGGGAACGACAGCGCCGACGCCATGTCCTCCCGGTACTTTCTGTCAAGGCAGCAACAGCCAGCCCGATCCTTGCGCCGCAGGGACGTTCAATCGTAACTTCACTGCTACCAGCTGCAGCCAGTGTGCCGCGGGATACATTTGTAGCCCAGGCGGAGTAGCAGACTACGTGGCAGGGACGTACTACGCGGCTCCCTCGTTGTATGCCTGCGCGAATGAGAGCGGCGGCGCGGTAGCATGGACACAAGAGACAGCAACTAATGGGACATACGTGGCTGGAGACGTCGTGACAGATGTAGACGGTAACGCGTATGTGAGCGGAACCGTGTCAAGGGCGAGCGAGGGAGTCTATGAGGTGGTTCTGACCAAGTATAGTACAGCTGGGAGAGAAGTATGGACGAGTGTGCTGAGCTCGGAGAGCTCTCCGGCATCAGCCCAAGGGATGGCAGTCGCAAGCGCGGGGTCTCTGTACGTAGGGATCAATCGGGAGGGGGGATGGTCGGTGTTTAAGGTGAGCAGCTGCGGGCAGCAAGAATGGAGAGTGGACGATGCAGACTCTCTCGAGGACCAGGCGCGGCTCGGGCTGGCGGTGGGAAGCGACGTAGTACTAGTCGCTTGGACCAACGTCTCTGGAAGTACCACTGTCCGGCAGTACACGATGGAGGGGAAGCTGGCGTGGGAGAGGGTCATGATAGCGGGAGCCGCAGGGGCGAAGGTCATAGCGACAGGGCTTGGGGCTGACGCAGCGGGGGGCGGCTTCATGGTGGGGATGTACGAGGGACAGTTTGCAGGGCAATATGCCGAGGGGGGATGGGATGGGTTTCTGCTTAGATTTGGCGTCGACGGACATACTGTTTGGATATCGAAATTTGGTTCTGTGTCTTCGGACGTTGTTCGAGGGTTAACAGTGGAAGGGAGTGGTATGTTTGCTTATGTTTATGGACATTTTGGAATGACAAATCAGTCAGTTGTTCTCAATGGTCTCATGTCGTCTGGTGGCATTGATGGTTTTTTGATCAAGTTTGCTAATGATGGTACCAAAAATTGGACATACATAGAGCAATCTCCAGGACGGTCGAGCAGAATCGATGGATGTGCCATAGACGAATTTCAATCTCTTTATCTTTCTGTTTTCTATTCATCGACGTCAGTCGAAAATTGCTCTGAGGTCAACTCGCTCTACGTCGTAAAGCTTTCTCAAGATCAGTCATTGTATTGGAAACGATTATCTTATGCAAATATCTTTCCTAACAATACAGCAATTGCATACCAATCAAATCGGTCGTTTTCAGTATTTTCAATCAATGCTTCGAATTGTAAACTAAGTCCCTGTGCTTTGTTGGGAATTGTTGTGTATGATACCATTCCTACTTGTAATTCTCTCACAATAGGGGGATCGTTTCTGTGTCCGCCCGGATTTTTCTGCAAGAAAGGCATACCTAATCTAGAAAGTTCTAGATGTCCAGAAGGAACATTCAGCGATCAATATGGACTGATCAACATATCTTTCTGCAGATCGTGCACTCCAGGAATGTTTTGCAATAGAGCTGGCTTATCCACGCCGACAGACTATTGTGCCGCAGGCCATTATTGCATAGAAGGATCTAAGGATGCGGCAGGTTCCTCGTGTGATGACAGGTCCATAGCCTGCAACGAAGCTACTTGCTTTCCGCTTCAATTACACGCTTGTGGTGGAGCGTGTCAAGAAGGATTCTTTTGTCCTCCTGGTAGCTCAAGGCCATTGATTTGCCCTGCCGGCAAGTACTGTGCGTACGCTAAGGCATCTTCCCCAACTGGAAATTGTTCTGCTGGTTACTTTTGCAGCATACCAGGAAATCAAAATTTCAAGCCTGATCCAAACAACGGAACTGCGGGACCCTGTCCTCCTGGTACTTACTGCCCGTCTGGATCGGATTTTCCAAAACCATGTCCTGCAGGAACGTTTTCAAACAGATCTAAAAACGTTCAGCTTGAACAATGCTCACTGTGTCCGCCAGGACATTATTGTCCAAGCGAAGGAACCGTAGTCCCACAAGCATGTGACGAGGGATATTACTGTCCCCCTGGTATGATAGCAGGAAATCCAGCAACTTACATCTGTCCAAAAGGTTCATATTGCACAAGAGGAAGCAGAGAACCAATGCCATGTCCAGTTGGAACGTACAATGACCTCATACAAAACGAAAGATGCATGCCATGTCCACAAAAATTTACATGCCCTGTATCCAATACACAGCAACCGTTTGACTGCCCCGCAGGTCACTACTGCCCTGAGAATAACTCCTTGCCCGTACCATGCCCGGAAGGCTCCTTCAGCGCTGATCAAAACCTCGCCTCTGCTGGCGAGTGTACAGCCTGTCTTCCGGGCAAGTACTGCGGCACATCAGGGCTCCGGTCGCCCACGGGAGATTGCTTTGCTGGTCACCTGTGTCTTCAGGGAGCGATCTTCCCTAACGAGACCGTCAATGCCTCTGCTCTCTTCGGCCAGCGGCTCTCTTTCCCTTGTCCGCCCGGCTACTTCTGCACCACGGGAACGACAGCGCCGACGCCATGTCCTCCCGGTACTTTCTGTCAAGGCAGCAACAGCCAGCCCGATCCTTGCGCCGCAGGGACGTTCAATCGTAACTTCACTGCTACCAGCTGCAGCCAGTGTGCCGCGGGATACATTTGTAGCCCAGGCGGAGTAGCAGACTACGTGGCAGGGACGTACTACGCGGCTCCCTCGTTGTATGCCTGCGCGAATGAGAGCGGCGGCGCGGTAGCATGGACACAAGAGACAGCAACTAATGGGACATACGTGGCTGGAGACGTCGTGACAGATGTAGACGGTAACGCGTATGTGAGCGGAACCGTGTCAAGGGCGAGCGAGGGAGTCTATGAGGTGGTTCTGACCAAGTATAGTACAGCTGGGAGAGAAGTATGGACGAGTGTGCTGAGCTCGGAGAGCTCTCCGGCATCAGCCCAAGGGATGGCAGTCGCAAGCGCGGGGTCTCTGTACGTAGGGATCAATCGGGAGGGGGGATGGTCGGTGTTGAAGGTGAGCAGCTGCGGGCAGCAAGAATGGAGAGTGGACGATGCAGACTCTCTCGAGGACCAGGCGCGGCTCGGGCTGGCGGTGGGAAGCGACGTAGTACTAGTCGCTTGGACCAACGTCTCTGGAAGTACCACTGTCCGGCAGTACACGATGGAGGGGAAGCTGGCGTGGGAGAGGGTCATGATAGCGGGAGCCGCAGGGGCGAAGGTCATAGCGACAGGGCTTGGGGCTGACGCAGCGGGGGGCGGCTTCATGGTGGGGATGTACGAGGGACAGTTTGCAGGGCAATATGCCGAGGGGGGATGGGATGGGTTTCTGCTTAGATTTGGCGTCGACGGACAACAAGGTTGGGTGCGTGCAATCAATGCATATCCTTCTGTCAGTGGCGTTGGAGTGGAGGTCGCGGCTGGCTGGCTGGTTGTGTATGGTAGAGCTTGGAGCTTGCAGAACAGCACCGATAACGTCAGTGCTGCCCAAGACTCATGCACAGTGGGTATTCGCAGGACTATCTCATCCCCTGTGTCCGGCGCAAGCGATGTGTTTGTCATCAGGTATGGAGCGGATGGAAACACGACCTGGTCCAAGGCGATTGGTACTTGCGGAAATGATAGACCTGTAGGGTTAGCGGTTGACAGCTTCGGCGGCATCTACCTACTCGGCCAGTCGCCTGCGGACGCGAGCCGAGGTGGGCCTATAGGCTTCAGCGTCAAGCTGAGCCGGGGCGGGGACCTACTATGGAAGCAGACTTGGGGACAATCAGCTGAGTCTGCGGGAGGAGGCATCTCCGTAGGCAGCGGTCTGGTCATAGCCGCCATGGACAGCTACAACTCAAGCTCCGGCTCCAGGTACTCCAACGTCACGGCGTACCTGTCTAATCCGGCTTGCTATGGGCTGAGCGAAGGAGGAAATTTCGTTTGCCCCCCCGGTCATTTCTGTGTGGAGGGTCTCAAGTCTCTTGCGGAAGGAGCCTGTCCCCCCGGAACGTACAGCAACCGCTCGGGTCTTGCAAGCTTCTCTGAGTGCGAGAGCTGCTTGCCAGGCATGTATTGCAGCGAGTGGGGGTTGACAGCGCCTACAGGACCTTGCGCAGCAGGTTTCTACTGTACAAGCGGAGCAGCAGATCCCAACGCCAGCATGTGCGACCCCCGCAGCGTCTCGAGCGTGCTCACATGTGCGACATCGCTGCTCTACAAGGAGTGCTCGCCCAACCTGACCTGTGGAGGAATATGTCCCGCAGGGTACTTTTGTCCTGTAGGCTCCCCTACACCCACGGCATGCACTCCGGGCTATTATTGCGACAAAGACGGGCAGGGCATTGTTTCAGGGCCTTGCTCTTCGGGCTACTTTTGTGGCTATAGCTCTGGAGGAGCAGGAGCTAGCACACCGACGCCGGACTCTGCGGACAGTCGGGGGCCTTGTCCTGTCGGATACTACTGTCCCGAAGGAACTGTATATCCGATCCCATGTCCCAAGGGCACTTTCAGGCCGTACTTGAAAGGGCAGGCCAACAGCTCGTGCCTGGCATGTACGCCAGGATTCTACTGTCCCGTCCAAGGTCTCTCCAACGTGTCTGGGTATCCATGCAGCGGGGGCTTCTACTGTCCTGGAGGTCAGTCGACCGGGACGCCATCCGGGTATCAGTGCCCAGTTGGTCACGAATGTCCCGAGGGGAGCAAGAGTCCCAAGACTTGTCCTCCGGCTTACTACCAGAACGACGTCGGGCAGTCCGCCTGCAAAGTGTGCGAGGCGGGCTACTACTGCACGGGGAGCCCCGACCTGAACAGCGGCAGCGGGGCAGTGATCTGTCCGACTGGATACTACTGCCCTGCGGGGTCCGCCGAGAAGCTGTCGTGTAGTCCTGGGACCTACATGCCCAGGACGGGCGAGTCCGCGTGCTGGAGCTGCCCAGCTCAGTCCACGTGTCCCGAAGAAGGCATGAGCAGTCCATTGCCATGCCCCGCAGGTCACTACTGCCCCGAGAATAACTCCTTGCCCGTACCATGCCCGGAAGGCTCCTTCAGCGCTGATCAAAACCTCGCCTCTGCTGGCGAGTGTACAGCCTGTCTTCCGGGCAAGTACTGCGGCACATCAGGGCTCCGGTCGCCCACGGGAGATTGCTTTGCTGGTCACCTGTGTCTTCAGGGAGCGATCTTCCCTAACGAGACCGTCAATGCCTCTGCTCTCTTCGGCCAGCGGCTCTCTTTCCCTTGTCCGCCCGGCTACTTCTGCACCACGGGAACGACAGCGCCGACGCCATGTCCTCCCGGTACTTTCTGTCAAGGCAGCAACAGCCAGCCCGATCCTTGCGCCGCAGGGACGTTCAATCGTAACTTCACTGCTACCAGCTGCAGCCAGTGTGCCGCGGGATACATTTGTAGCCCAGGCGGAGTAGCAGACTACGTGGCAGGGACGTACTACGCGGCTCCCTCGTTGTATGCCTGCGCGAATGAGAGCGGCGGCGCGGTAGCATGGACACAAGAGACAGCAACTAATGGGACATACGTGGCTGGAGACGTCGTGACAGATGTAGACGGTAACGCGTATGTGAGCGGAACCGTGTCAAGGGCGAGCGAGGGAGTCTATGAGGTGGTTCTGACCAAGTATAGTACAGCTGGGAGAGAAGTATGGACGAGTGTGCTGAGCTCGGAGAGCTCTCCGGCATCAGCCCAAGGGATGGCAGTCGCAAGCGCGGGGTCTCTGTACGTAGGGATCAATCGGGAGGGGGGATGGTCGGTGTTTAAGGTGAGCAGCTGCGGGCAGCAAGAATGGAGAGTGGACGATGCAGACTCTCTCGAGGACCAGGCGCGGCTCGGGCTGGCGGTGGGAAGCGACGTAGTACTAGTCGCTTGGACCAACGTCTCTGGAAGTACCACTGTCCGGCAGTACACGATGGAGGGGAAGCTGGCGTGGGAGAGGGTCATGATAGCGGGAGCCGCAGGGGCGAAGGTCATAGCGACAGGGCTTGGGGCTGACGCAGCGGGGGGCGGCTTCATGGTGGGGATGTACGAGGGACAGTTTGCAGGGCAATATGCCGAGGGGGGATGGGATGGGTTTCTGCTTAGATTTGGCGTCGACGGACAACAAGGTTGGGTGCGTGCAATCAATGCATATCCTTCTGTCAGTGGCGTTGGAGTGGAGGTCGCGGCTGGCTGGCTGGTTGTGTATGGTAGAGCTTGGAGCTTGCAGAACAGCACCGATAACGTCAGTGCTGCCCAAGACTCATGCACAGTGGGTATTCGCAGGACTATCTCATCCCCTGTGTCCGGCGCAAGCGATGTGTTTGTCATCAGGTATGGAGCGGATGGAAACACGACCTGGTCCAAGGCGATTGGTACTTGCGGAAATGATAGACCTGTAGGGTTAGCGGTTGACAGCTTCGGCGGCATCTACCTACTCGGCCAGTCGCCTGCGGACGCGAGCCGAGGTGGGCCTATAGGCTTCAGCGTCAAGCTGAGCCGGGGCGGGGACCTACTATGGAAGCAGACTTGGGGACAATCAGCTGAGTCTGCGGGAGGAGGCATCTCCGTAGGCAGCGGTCTGGTCATAGCCGCCATGGACAGCTACAACTCAAGCTCCGGCTCCAGGTACTCCAACGTCACGGCGTACCTGTCTAATCCGGCTTGCTATGGGCTGAGCGAAGGAGGAAATTTCGTTTGCCCCCCCGGTCATTTCTGTGTGGAGGGTCTCAAGTCTCTTGCGGAAGGAGCCTGTCCCCCCGGAACGTACAGCAACCGCTCGGGTCTTGCAAGCTTCTCTGAGTGCGAGAGCTGCTTGCCAGGCATGTATTGCAGCGAGTGGGGGTTGGCAGCGCCTACAGGACCTTGCGCAGCAGGTTTCTACTGTACAAGCGGAGCAGCAGATCCCAACGCCAGCATGTGCGACCCCCGCAGCGTCTCGAGCGTGCTCACATGTGCGACATCGCTGCTCTACAAGGAGTGCTCGCCCAACCTGACCTGTGGAGGAATATGTCCCGCAGGGTACTTTTGTCCTGTAGGCTCCCCTACACCCACGGCATGCACTCCGGGCTATTATTGCGACAAAGACGGGCAGGGCATTGTTTCAGGGCCTTGCTCTTCGGGCTACTTTTGTGGCTATAGCTCTGGAGGAGCAGGAGCTAGCACACCGACGCCGGACTCTGCGGACAGTCGGGGGCCTTGTCCTGTCGGATACTACTGTCCCGAAGGAACTGTATATCCGATCCCATGTCCCAAGGGCACTTTCAGGCCGTACTTGAAAGGGCAGGCCAACAGCTCGTGCCTGGCATGTACGCCAGGATTCTACTGTCCCGTCCAAGGTCTCTCCAACGTGTCTGGGTATCCATGCAGCGGGGGCTTCTACTGTCCTGGAGGTCAGTCGACCGGGACGCCATCCGGGTATCAGTGCCCAGTTGGTCACGAATGTCCCGAGGGGAGCAAGAGTCCCAAGACTTGTCCTCCGGCTTACTACCAGAACGACGTCGGGCAGTCCGCCTGCAAAGTGTGCGAGGCGGGCTACTACTGCACGGGGAGCCCCGACCTGAACAGCGGCAGCGGGGCAGTGATCTGTCCGACTGGATACTACTGCCCTGCGGGGTCCGCCGAGAAGCTGTCGTGTAGTCCTGGGACCTACATGCCCAGGACGGGCGAGTCCGCGTGCTGGAGCTGCCCAGCTCAGTCCACGTGTCCCGAAGAAGGCATGAGCAGTCCATTGCCATGCCCCGCAGGTCACTACTGCCCCGAGAATAACTCCTTGCCCGTACCATGCCCGGAAGGCTCCTTCAGCGCTGATCAAAACCTCGCCTCTGCTGGCGAGTGTACAGCCTGTCTTCCGGGCAAGTACTGCGGCACATCAGGGCTCCGGTCGCCCACGGGAGATTGCTTTGCTGGTCACCTGTGTCTTCAGGGAGCGATCTTCCCTAACGAGACCGTCAATGCCTCTGCTCTCTTCGGCCAGCGGCTCTCTTTCCCTTGTCCGCCCGGCTACTTCTGCACCACGGGAACGACAGCGCCGACGCCATGTCCTCCCGGTCATTTCTGTGTTGAGGGTCTCAAGTCTCTTGCGGAAGGAGCCTGTCCCCCCGGAACGTACAGCAACCGCTCGGGTCTTGCAAGCTTCTCTGAGTGCGAGAGCTGCTTGCCAGGCATGTATTGCAGCGAGTGGGGGTTGGCAGCGCCTACAGGACCTTGCGCAGCAGGTTTCTACTGTACAAGCGGAGCAGCAGATCCCAACGCCAGCATGTGCGACCCCCGCAGCGTCTCGAGCGTGCTCACATGTGCGACATCGCTGCTCTACAAGGAGTGCTCGCCCAACCTGACCTGTGGAGGAATATGTCCCGCAGGGTACTTTTGTCCTGTAGGCTCCCCTACACCCACGGCATGCACTCCGGGCTATTATTGCGACAAAGACGGGCAGGGCATTGTTTCAGGGCCTTGCTCTTCGGGCTACTTTTGTGGCTATAGCTCTGGAGGAGCAGGAGCTAGCACACCGACGCCGGACTCTGCGGACAGTCGGGGGCCTTGTCCTGTCGGATACTACTGTCCCGAAGGAACTGTATATCCGATCCCATGTCCCAAGGGCACTTTCAGGCCGTACTTGAAAGGGCAGGCCAACAGCTCGTGCCTGGCATGTACGCCAGGATTCTACTGTCCCGTCCAAGGTCTCTCCAACGTGTCTGGGTATCCATGCAGCGGGGGCTTCTACTGTCCTGGAGGTCAGTCGACCGGGACGCCATCCGGGTATCAGTGCCCAGTTGGTCACGAATGTCCCGAGGGGAGCAAGAGTCCCAAGACTTGTCCTCCGGCTTACTACCAGAACGACGTCGGGCAGTCCGCCTGCAAAGTGTGCGAGGCGGGCTACTACTGCACGGGGAGCCCCGACCTGAACAGCGGCAGCGGGGCAGTGATCTGTCCGACTGGATACTACTGCCCTGCGGGGTCCGCCGAGAAGCTGTCGTGTAGTCCTGGGACCTACATGCCCAGGACGGGCGAGTCCGCGTGCTGGAGCTGCCCAGCTCAGTCCACGTGTCCCGAAGAAGGCATGAGCAGTCCATTGCCATGCCCCGCAGGTCACTACTGCCCCGAGAATAACTCCTTGCCCGTACCATGCCCGGAAGGCTCCTTCAGCGCTGATCAAAACCTCGCCTCTGCTGGCGAGTGTACAGCCTGTCTTCCGGGCAAGTACTGCGGCACATCAGGGCTCCGGTCGCCCACGGGAGATTGCTTTGCTGGTCACCTGTGTCTTCAGGGAGCGATCTTCCCTAACGAGACCGTCAATGCCTCTGCTCTCTTCGGCCAGCGGCTCTCTTTCCCTTGTCCGCCCGGCTACTTCTGCACCACGGGAACGACAGCGCCGACGCCATGTCCTCCCGGTCATTTCTGTGTTGAGGGTCTCAAGTCTCTTGCGGAAGGAGCCTGTCCCCCCGGAACGTACAGCAACCGCTCGGGTCTTGCAAGCTTCTCTGAGTGCGAGAGCTGCTTGCCAGGCATGTATTGCAGCGAGTGGGGGTTGACAGCGCCTACAGGACCTTGCGCAGCAGGTTTCTACTGTACAAGCGGAGCAGCAGATCCCAACGCCAGCATGTGCGACCCCCGCAGCGTCTCGAGCGTGCTCACATGTGCGACATCGCTGCTCTACAAGGAGTGCTCGCCCAACCTGACCTGTGGAGGAATATGTCCCGCAGGGTACTTTTGTCCTGTAGGCTCCCCTACACCCACG